TTCTTCTTGCTTGGGATACTTACACAAGTCTTCTGAAACTCTTCTGAACTCTTCTGAAACTCTTCTGAACTCTTCTGAACTCCAGAATGAAGTGACGAACCGATGGATCGTCGCTCTATTTATACGTCTCTGACTACCCAGCATTCCCTGAAACCCCGTTCAAAGGAGGGAGGGGTAGGGGGGTAACCCCCTCCCTATCCCGCCAAAAAACAAAACCGGTTTGACCGGTTTGACCTCCAGAACCTATATAACCGACCAGAATTTTCGTCAGATTGCCTTTTTGTCACGACCTATACCATTTGAAGACTAGAAGGAGGAGGAGAAGAAAAAAAAGATGGTTGCAAGACATTGTCGGATCGGTGCCATCATGGACATGGACGGATACATGGTAGATAAAGAGTTCATTCCAAAAGAACTTTCCATCAAGGCCCTCGGAAGTCTGGAACCTTTTTCTTGTCATTTTCTAAACTTGGGAAGACCCTTCAGAACCCTAAACAAGAGAGACCAAAAGATTGCCGACTTCGTGTACGAGAACATTTTCAGCATCGCCTACGACAAGTACTTTTTTGGVCAGCTTTTACCTGCCAGCATCATGAATGTCCTTCGCTGTGTATCACACGAAAACGTCGTGGTCGCCTACAAAGGTGGACGYTACGAGAGAGAACTTCTGGATCGACTCGAAGTGGAATCGTTTAATTTAGAAGACATTGGCTGCCCTAAAGTCGAGATGATACAACCCAATCGAGAGTATACCAACTGTGGACATCACGACAGAGATGATGGCCATTGCCCAACCACAGAAGTACAACTTTTTGAACAATATTACAAGAACTATATGTGGGACCACGGTCATATCATGGAAAACGAACATTTTAAACTGGCGAATCCTTTAACCTTCCTAGATGCTGAAGATGATTTTGTCTTTCTAAATTGAACTATTATTACTATTGTTATATTATTGATTTTTTGATTCTTCTTCTCCCCCTTCTAGTCAATTGGAGGTGGTCTTCTTCTTGTAAAAAATTTAAGACGTCGATTTTTGTTAAAATAAAACACATTTGTTAGAAAAAATGGCTGATTTTCTGACTCCAAAAAATTATTTTTTCAATAATTTTCCAATACTATTCATTTTTTAAATCCTTATTTTTACAAAAATAGGCTCACTTCCGGTTAAATCCAAGTCACTTCCGGTTTAGGGGAAATTCACTTCCGGTCTAGGAACATTTAACTTCCGGTTTGATGACGTCACTTCCGGTTCAAGCCCAGGTCACTTCCGGTTTGATGACGTCACTTCCGGTCACAAGCACCGCGGGCTCACCATAGCAACAAGGTTGGAGGTTAGCAACAACGTTGGAGACCGCATACCGCTGACCACCTAGTATCGCGGGCCGGTTGTAGCCCCCAACTAACGCCATTACTACTCGCGTGGTTTTCTTTGCGAATTTTGGCGATTTTTTTCGCTTTTTTGCAAGTGTATGTCATCGAGTATTTCCAAAAAAAAATTCATCGAAGTGACATCACGGAGTCCAATGTCCACGAACGTCCTTATTAGAATATTTTTATGACATATAGGCAAGAATTTTTCCCTCCAAATCATAGTTAACTATGAGTAACTATGTCCAAATTTAAGTGCAAAAAAAAATCGAACCGCATAGTTGATCCTTACTTGCTATAGCACAAGTACTGGAANTGTTCTAGTTATTTGGCGATTTAAAAAATACTCTCATATATTTAATTTTCAAGTAGTTCTTTTTGAAGTTTTTGCACATAGATTGAATCTATTGATTGAGCTGGAAGAATCTCTCTTTATTGTAATTCTC